TGTCGGCTCATTCTGACACTTCGCGCCCCTGGGCCGTCACTCTGCACCACCTTCTCGACTGCGGCCACTGGCATGCCGACGTCCTCTCCTGGCGCCGGCTGGCCCTTCTTTTTCTTGCCGGCGCTCTGTTCCTTGTTTACGGACTTTTGCACCGCCTTCAGGTAGTCGGTCCTGGTTCTAGCTCCACGGACATTCAGCATCGCTTTGCCTTCTCCGACCTCCACGAACGCCTTCAGTCCTGAGTCCTCCTCATGCCACAGCTACCACACTGGTTGAAGCGCCCCGTCATCCGACGTATCCGAGTCAGACTCTTGTTCTCTCGTGGGCCACTTCATCGCAGCGAAGACCGGTCTCGCTCTCTCCGAGAGCGGCGCGAGCTTATGGAGGACCTCTATCACCGTTCCACCGCCCTTCCTGCACTCGAAGCGGAACTGCTTCGCCCACCTGCTGTCTGCCGCCGCGCTCAGGATGGACTGTTGGAGCAGCATCCCCGGGATCGTGATCCATGTGCCGTAACGGACCTGCAGCCTCGTCAGGCGATGCAGCCGTGTCGGCAGCAAATCGTGGAGGGTTGGCACCTCTTCCGGCGCCGGATAGACGCAGGACCTGAAGCACCGGCTCAGCAGAGTGCTGTCCGGGTACAGGGACCTTGCTACGTCCGACAAAAACCTTTCTACTGGCACTCCGGGGCCTCTCCTACACCCATTCAAACGCGGCCTGACTGTGGCTGGCATCCAAGCCCACAGTCTAGCTACCAGCGTTTCGTCGTGGATATAATGGCACTGCTCGCCGACAGCCGTCGCCACATCATCCGCCCACTGCTCAAACTCCTCCTCTGTGATGGCGGTGAAACGTGGGAGGCGGCACTTCGCTAGCTTATCCTCCCAGGCCTGCTGCTCGCGCGAGTTAAGCTCGCGTACCCACTCTGGGAAGCGCCCTATATACGCATAGCCCACGTCATCGGCAACCAATCCAGCAGCTGTCGCCATTGCTGTGTCGAACTGGTCCGCTGCTGACGTGGTGCTGCCTGCGTCATACGAGGAGCCCTCGGTGTCGATTCTGCTAACTTGCATCGCTAGGTTGCTAACCCCCTTTGTATTTAATTAAAAAGCTTCGGCGGGCGAGACATAACAACTGAAAGCCAACCTTGCCCACTGACACACCAGAGACACAACAGCTCAATGACGGGAGACAGAGGGCAACATGGCGACACACACTCCTGACGCGATACCCCTATTCCGCGACTCAGACGACGAGCTCAGCATTAGCAGGCCGTCCCCCAGCACCCAACAGGACACACCAGGTGATGGTGATTTGATGCGTCTGGCTGCCTGGTAGACATGGAGACCTATCACAACGGGTATCTGTTCCACGGACCGATATCGTTAAGAAAGGTGCTGTGGTGACCAAAATCATTAGCAGGTTTTCACCTGGTCTACCTTTCACTCAGATTTGGCGAAAGGTAGACCAAGGTCATGCTCCTGGGTGGGCTGTTCCTAAGCGACCTGTATGTACCCGCCACCCGCGTGGGGAGTGGCGGGAAGTTATATTGATATCCAACTGGAGCGCAACAATTTGTTACCCATCCCGGATCAAGTACCTGAAGCTCGCCGCCCAATGCAAAGCTCAAGCTTTGGCGGAACTACAGCATTCCAAATATTCGAGGCGATTTGTCGATCGGCAGGATATTCGTTACCTGGCCATCGTTTTCGTGAGTACCCGAGCTACCCGGACTCTCTTACGCGTAGCTGAAAATCAACATCGTAACGACGATGAACGGGCGGAAGCTATGTTCTTGTGAGATTGATGGACCGTAGTTTCAAATATCATCCCGCCGGAACCAACAAACGTGGCGCGCTGTACTCAGGATTGGGGCCAGGTGTCACTTGGGCACCCCCTCTCGTCTGCCAGTCGGTAACCGACTGTCCCCGACCAACGTGAGCAACATGAAAAGGGACACTGGGCTCGCTAAGAACACATAAGGGTACCCTCCAGTCTGTGACCGAGAGGAGGAGCACCTTGAGTCGTCCGGCTCGATGAGTTTCTGAAACCGCCGTCGCTTCACCCCTAAATTATGGGCAAAGATCTCGTTCCAGATCGGCTCCAGTTACGGTAGCAACAGGGGAACACCCAAAGATTCATGTGAACAACTACAAAACACAAACGCGGCTGAAACAAATCCTCAGACGATGAGAACCGGCCCTCCTAGTCTATCACTTGTGTTTCATACCCGATGAGACCTTTCGTTGATACCTTCGGGGTAGAGCTCAGCGCAATGACAGGAAGCGACACCCATCGCCTCCAGTTCAGGAGAGTGATTCGGCCTCGTTTAGGCACCACATATCACAGCCGCCTTTAAAGATGCGTCCACCAACTTATCGATGGGTTCATCCAATTTCTGAGACGTGGCGACCACGGCATCCAGCATCGCCATCCGGAAGGCTATTTCTTCCTCAACGAGCGGAGAACCGATGCTCCAATAACCTGTTCAAGAAATTCAGTTCTGCTTAGTCACTCAAAAAAGACCACCGGTCAAACCTCGTCTTCAAATGCCTCGGAAGTTGACACACTCACCAAACTTAGGCCTGCTTAGAAAGCCACGGTAGCGAGGCCCACGAGTGT